AAAAAAAAAAAAAAGATACCAATTAGGCCAAGTGCTGCAGCTCATACCTGTAATCCTAGCACTCTGGGAGGCTGAGGCAGGTGGACCGCTTAAGCTCAGGGGTTTAAGACCGGCCTTAGCAAGAACGAGGCCCTGTCTCTACCACAAACAGAAAAAATCAGCCAGGTGCTGTGGTGGGCACCTATAGTCCCAGCTACTCAGGAAGTTAAGGCAGAAAGATCACTTGAGACCACAATTTTGAGGTTGCTGTGAACTATGATGATGCCATAGCACTAAACCCCAGGGCAACAGAGTGAGACCCTGTCTCAAAAAAATAAAATAAATAAAATAAACATACCAATTGTCAGGCACAGTGGCTCACACCTATAATCCCAGCACTCTGGGAGGCTGAGGCAGGCAGATGGCGTAGGCTTACAGGTTCAAGACCAGCCTGAGCTAGAGTGAGACCTCATCTCTAAAAATAGCCAGGTGTTGTGGTGGGAGCCTATAGTCCCAGCTACTCGGGAGGTTGAGACAAGAGATTCACTTGAGCCCAAGAATTCGAGGTTGCTGTGAGCTATGATGCTACCGCACTCTACCAGTGGTGACAAAGTGAGACTCTGTCTCAAAAAATAAATAAATAAATAAATAAAGATACCAATTAAAGTTGGTACAATTAAGGAAGGACAGGCACTATGGCTCATAACTACAACTCCAGTACTTTGGGAGGCCACGGTGGGAGAACCGCTTGAGACAAGGAGCTCAAGACCACCCTGGGTTAAGACCTTAGGCAAGACCCCACCTCCACAAAATTTTTTGTTTAATTAGCTGGGTGTGGCATACACCTATAGTCCTAGCTACTCAGGAGGCTATGGCAGAAGGATCACTTTAGTCCAAGAGTTTGAGGTTACAGTAAGCTATGATCACACCACTGCACTCCAGTCTGAGCAAAAGAGGGAAAATTTGTCTCTTAAGGAAAGAAAAAAAGTTGGTACAGTTGAAAGTCATCACTAGAATACAACCACCTGGATCCTTCTGTTTCTCTAGACCAGCAGTGGTTCTCAACCTTCCTAATGCTGCTGCTCTAGACATATGACTAACATGAAAAAAACCCTAGTGAACTTTATTTACCCGTGGTTTTATACATGTATAATAAATGGTCATCCTTAATTCTCCCTTACTATATGCCCCAAAATATCCAAATTGAGCACACACTTATTCCCTAATAAATTACCAATCCCAAATTTTTAAAACCAATTTCCTAGATTTAGTATACATTTTTTAATCCACTGTAGTTCTGAAAGGCTATCTTATCAAATTCCTTTTTAAATCATGAATCATCTATTTGCCAAAGTGCTTCCACAGAAGGACAACCAACACTGTTATTCTAGATCTAGTTCTCATGCTCAAGAAAGAACTGGTTGGTAAAATGGAAAGAATAGGAGTCCTTGGAGAAAGTTAACATTCACCTTGGAATGTTAGCTTAGATAAGGAATACTAAGCATAATCAGACCACATACTCAAAACTTTATAGAGAAACAGCTAAAGGAAATTAAAAGATCTCATATGAAATCCTACCTACATAATGAACACAGCAACAGTGAATAAGAAAGGAGTAATGTCCAAAGAAACTAAAAACTGGCTAGATACCAGTAATTAACCCACATTTAACAAGAGAAATATAAAAGGTAGAAGAAGGGCCACATAACCAAGAAAAAGAGCAAATGGCATAATTTGCTAAGAAAAATCAGGAGACTGGAACCCAGAATGAGCTAAGGCTTGCAAAAATTTTCAAGGCCAACAAAAAGGAGCTTTTAAAATTGTATTCTGGGAAAGAAAGCCTCCTAACTGGGATGGACAATTTTATGCTAATTGATGACAAAGTGGGAAACAGATTGTGCAACCATTTTATGTCAAAGAAAATGATTATCAGAATGAAAAAGAGAGAACAAACATGGATCTGAAAGAACCAAAACCCTGAAGAGATGAGGAAATTGTAAAATATCACTTAAAATTCCAAATGCATTTATGGCTCCTAGCCCAGATGAATTAAATCCCATGACTAAAAGAGATAACAGAAGAAACATAAACACTGTTCTGATAATCTTTTAGAAATACTGGTATGGAAAGTGGAGTGATGTGACACGTAATTATTGAATTCAAATGTTCCTTAAATTTCAAAAATAATTGAAACCATAGCCTGGTTAGTCTACTATTTTGAAGGTAAAAGGGATATTATTTTTGAAAAATAACAACATTATTTCCAGTCCCCATGATCTTCTAGAATCTTGCCATTTAGCCCCTACCTTTGAACCTGGGCAGGACTTCATGACTGATAGCAAGAAACAATGCAGCAGAAGTGATGCTACATGACTTTTGAATTTTCCTTTTTCTCTCATGTTATAAGGAAGCCAAAGTAGCCCATACAGAGATTAGGTGGAAAGGCCTCTTTGAAGAGAAAAAAGGGCCCCTCCAACAACCAGAATCAACCCAAGACATGTTGAGTTAATGGATGTTCAGATTATTTCAGTCCCTAGCCTTTGTGTTTTTCAGCTGAGGCCCCAGATATCATGGAGCAGAAACTGTCCTCGCTCTTACATGTTCAAACAATAGAGGATAATATAGAAAGTCAAGATTATTTTAATTCACTTATAGAAAAGACAATCACTAGGAGCCAATATGATATCCCTTTGGGAAAAATTTTTCTCAGGAAATACAAAGATCCTTTTGAACAAAGTTTATATCTTATTTATCTTTGCATTTCAACTCCTAAAAGAGTATCTAGCATGCCATAAGCAATAAAAAAAAAACTACCAATGTATAGCCGGGCGTTGTGGTGGGCGCCTGTAGTCCCAGCTACTCAGGAGCCTGAGGCAAGAGAATCACCTAAACCCAGGAGTTGGAGGTTGCTATGAGCTGTGTGATGCCATGACACTCTACCGAGGGTGATAAAGTGAGACTCTGTCTCTAAAAAAAAAAAAAAAAAACTACCAATGTGAACTTTATTAATTTTATTTCCTTTTTTGACTATACAGTAGAATGTTAGTCAAAGGAAAGCTAGAGACACTAAATATATGAATTTCAGCAAGTGATCTAACAATTGTGCTGCAAACAATACCATAAAGAAAGTAAAAGAATTTCTCCAGAGAAGATCACAAATGACCAATAGGCACATGAAAAGATGCTTAACAACAACCCTAATCTTTTACTTCTAGGCCTCTTTCAAAAAACTCTAAAAGTTGGTAATAGAAAATGTGATTTCAGATAACTCATATATCTTTCCCTGAAGTATCACTCTGGAAACAGCCTATGTTCCCTATTTCTTTTTTTCTCCACAAGTATATCTGGAGTTATATAACTAGAAAAGCAAATGGAGTACAGAAAGGCTCACCTCACCAGTTTACTACCATTCTTTATATGACCTGTGAATAAAAGGCTAAGGCTTTAAAAATAGATTCAGAATAATTTGGGAAATTCTTCATCATTGAAATTCTCTCTTAAAAAGAAATTTCAACATGAAGTAGCCAAAATTGAGATCACTTATTAGTCTTCTTCTGTTTTAGTAGAATATCTAGTTTCTACAATCAGGATTATTCCTGGAATCTGGCTTGAAAAAAACTGAAGGGTTGTGGTATTTGTGGAGGTGGTTAAAAAATGGCCAGCCTCCCTGGCAAGAACCCAAGTAAAGAGGGAAGCAGAGCTCAAGATGCTTTGCTGGGTTAGCTTCCCCCTCCCCTCAAAAAGCAGATGCCCAGGTACTTTTCTTTAAAGACACCAGCAAAAACAGATATCAATGCCACCTCTGAAGACAAGATAAACAAATGTATGCCTATGTATATGCATATACTTACATACATAAAAAGGAGGGGTGTGAAACTGTGCAAGCATATGTATGCACACACGCACACCCTACCTCTATCCAATTGAGAGGGCTTAAACGCAATGAGCACATCTAGCACCCAGATATTGATTTCACAGGAGTCATCTTGAAGAACTCCTATTGGTCAAATTTGGGATCATTTACCATCAAAACAAAAATGAATAGTATAACTCTTTGGGCAAAATAAGAATCCTTGAGTCTATACTGGTAAAGAAAGTAAGCTTTACCCTATCATAATAAATAAATCTAGAACGTATATGGAGTCAGAAAAATTACATTTGGCAACCATCATAGTAATAACTGATTTAGGCTGAAAGCAGTGGCTCATCCCTGTAATTCTAGCACTCTTGAGAGGCTGAGACTAGAGGACTGCTTAAGCTCGGGAGTTTAAGACCAGTGTGAGCAAGAGACCCCATCTCTACTAAAAACAGAAAAAATTAGCCAGGCAATGTGGCATTCACCTGTAGTTCCAGCTACTTGGGAGGCTGAGGTGAGGATGGCTTAAGCCTAGGAGTTTAAGGTTGCTGTGAGCAAAGCTAATGCCAAAGCACTCTAGCCTGGAGCAACAGAGTGAGACTCTGTCTTACTTAAAAAAAAAAACTAAT